CGCCGCCCCGACACACGGCAGGCGCGGGAGCCGCCGAATCCGGGAGAGCGCCGGCTGCGGTGTGCGCTCTCGAGGCACCTGGGCGGGCGGGAAGTGCCCGGCCCCCGAGCGCGGGAACCAGGCGGGGGCGCTGCTGCCCCCTTCCCGCCGCCAGCGTGCGGAACGCGGCACCCGCGCTCCGCCCCGCGACCCTGGGGCCGGGGGCGCGCTCCTCCTCCCCTCTCTTAGGACCTATCAGATCATTCTGTTCCTGGTTCAGTAGTTCAGTTCAGTTTCTCTCTCTCTCTCTCTCCTTCTCTGTCTCCACATTCTAAAATAATGAGCAAAACTGCCTGGAAAGACAGAAACCTGGTTCCAAACCTGGTTCCAAAACCATGCTTAGAATGCCAAATACATAAACGGCATTTCATAGTGAAAGCTGGGACGCAAGGTGACTTGATTTATTGCGCTGTGGGCGTACTTCGGTCACCCCTGGCCCTCAAAGAGCTTGCATTCTCGTTACTGACCTGGTCACTACATCAGTTCTCTCTTAGCTTTCCATTTTATTTGGCCTCTAATTTTTTTTTTTTTGTCTGCAAGTCATTCTTTCTAGAACACTTAATCATTTTTCATAATGTTATTTTTCTGTTATACAAAATACATATAGGTTCATTGGGGAGAATTTAGAAAATACAGAAATATGTAAAGAAGAAAATACCCATTTTCCAGCCAAAAATGACTACTTTGAATTAAGTAGACCACAAAGTAGTCCTTCCACTCTTTCTCTTTTTTTTCAATGTAAAATACCTTTTTCACAAAATCAGGATCAAACTGTACACACTATTTTGAGTACTTGTTTATATTAAAATTATATTGTGTCTAAGCAAACTAGGAATAGAGGGGACTTCCGCATATTAAGAAAAAGACATCTACAAATACCTACATTCATACTGAATGGAAAGAAACTAGAAACTTCCTTACTTAGGTCAGAAGCAAGGCAAGGATGTCTCTCTCACCACTCCTTTTCAATATTCTACTGCAAGTCCTAGCTAATGCAATTAGATAAGAAAAGGAAATTTAAAAGCTTATCTACTGGGGAGAAAGAAATAAAACTATCTTTGTTCACAGATGATATGATCGTCTAAGTAGAAAACCTCGAAGAATCGGCCAAAACTTGACCTGGAACAGATATGAATCATAGCAAGTTTGCAGTATACAACGTAAATGTACAAAAGTCAGTCAACTTCCCATACATCAGCAATAAGCCATTGTAATTTGAAACTGAAAATGTAATACCACCTACATTAGCACACAAAAATGAAGTATTCAGGTATGAATAGAACATAATAGATACGAGATCTATATGAGGAAAACTACAAAACTTTGAGGAAAGAAATCGGAGATGAACTAGATAAATGGAGAGATAGTTCAGGTTCATTGGTAAGAAGACTCAATATTTTTAGGATGTAGTTCTTTCCAACTTAATGTATAGGTTCATTGTAATCGCAATCAAAACCTCAGCAAGCTATTTTGTGGCTATCAACTAAGTGATTCTAAAGTTTATATGAAGAGGCAAAAGACCTGGAATAGGCAACCCAATATTGAAGGACAAGAACAAAGTTGGAGGACCGACACTAATAGACTTCAAGACTTAACTATAAAGCTACAGTAAACAATACAGTGTGGTATTGGGGAAAGAATAAACAAATAGGTAAATGAAACAGAATAGAGAGCCCAGAAATAGTCACACAAATATAGTCATGTGATCTTTGACAAATGAGCAAAGTCAATTCAACGGAGAAAGGATAGTATTTTCAATAAATGGTGCTGGAACAACTGGACATCCACTTGCAAAAAAATGATCATAGGCCTAAATATAAAACACAAAACTAGAAAACTCTGGAATATAACATAGGAGAAAATCTAGATAACTTTGGATTTGGTGATGTCTTTTTAGATATAAGACCAAAAGTATGTTCCATGGTAGAAAAAATCGGTAAGTTGGACTTCATTAAAAGTAAAAACTTCTGCCAAGATGATGAGATGATAAGCCACAGCCTGACAGAAAATATGTGTGAAAGACGTATCTGATAAAGGGCTAATATCCGAAGTAAGAACTCTTGAACTCAACTATAAGAAAATAAACAATCCAGTTAAAAAATTGGCAAGATAACACAGATATATCACCAAAGATGATATAAGGACCATCAAAAAGCATATGAAATGATGTTCAACATCATATGTCGTTAGGGGGTTACAAATTAAAACAATGAGTGAGATACCACTACACACCTACTAGAATGGATACAGTCACAAAACACTGACAACATCAAATGCTGACAAGGATATGGAGCCACAGGAACTGTCATTCATTGCCAGTGGAAATGCAAAATGGTACAGTCACTTTGGAAGACAGTGTTGCAGTTTCTTACACAACCAAATAGATTTTTACCACATAATCCACCAATTGCCTAACTTGGTATTTATCTACAATGAGTTTAAAACTTAAGTCCACACAAAAACCTGCACACAAATATTTATAGAAGCTTTATTCATAATTGCCAAAATATGGAAACAGCCAATATGTTCTTCAGTAGGTGAATGGATAAAGGGTGGTGCATCCATATAATGATACATTATTCAGTGACAAAAACTAATGAACTATCAAGTCGTGAAAAGACATGAGGGGACCTTAAATGTATGCTGCCAAGTGAAAGGAGCCAATCTTAAAGGCTATATAGTATATGATTCCACTTATATGGCATTGTGGAAGAGGCAAAGTTATGGAGACAGTAAAAAGATCAGTGGTCACAAGGGCTTCCTGGTGTGTGTAGGGATAAGTAGGGTTGCGGGGGAATGAAACGGTGAGCACAGGGGATTTTTAGAGCAGTGAAACTCTTTTGTATGATACGATAATGGTGGATACATGTCATTTTACATTTGTCAAAATCCATAGATTATACAAAACCAAGAGTAAACCCTAATATAGACTTCGGTTGATAATGATGTGTCAGTGTCGGTTCCCTGATTGTAAGAAACATACCACACTAACGCAGGATGTTGATCATTGGTGGGGAGGCTGTGTGTGTACATGGGGGTGGCAGGAATTTGGGGCCTCTCTTTACTTTCCTCTCAATTTTGCTGTGAACCCGAAATTGCTCTAAGAAACAAAGTCTATTGATTTAAAAATGGTATTTTTTAGCTTTCCAGTGTCATAATATTCTTCTAAAAGATTGTTTTACTGCATGCATTTTAACTTTTATGACTGTTATGATCATAAAAGCAACAAAGCCATTATAAAATAAAGTAACAAGTAATATCAGGTATATAAGTTTTAAAAGTTACTATCTTTGTATATATTTTTTAATCTTTTTGTGTGTGTGTGAGAGAGACTTAGGAACAAGACACACTCTCCCTCCCCCCACACCCTGTGTGTTTGAAGGCTTTCTTCTTTTTTTATTTTTTTAAAGATTTTTTTTAAAAATGTGGACCATTTATTTTTAAAGTCTTTATTGAATTTGTTACACTATTGATTATGTTTTATGTTATGGTTTCTTGGCTGCAAGGCATGTGGGATCTTAGCTCCCCGACCAGGGATGGAACCCACACCCCCTGCATTGGAAAGTGAAGTCTTAACCACAGGACCACCAGGGAAGTCCCCGAAGACTTTCTTCTTAATCTCTTCTTCTGAGACTTGAAACAACCGTTCTCTTTCCC